GCCGTTTCATAACAGTTTAACTAGAGCTCGTACTGAAAAGGACTGTTTACAAGTTTAATCAGCAACCCCCCGAAAAGGCATAAGGTTTGTTTCATCATATATTGTTAGTGAGAAATACATATTTTGTGAAGATATCTAAGAATGCTGATGTATGTTTTTGTATTGTTTTGCTCAGCTCTTACGGTGATTACAAGAGTAAAGGAATGTAAATAAAGCAACTTGAAACATCAGTAAAGTTTCGGCCATCATTCGGATGGGGTCTGCTACAATATATATATATATATATATATATATATATATATATATATATATATATATATATATATATATATATATGTATGTATGTATTTATATACATATATATATATATATATATGTATGTAACTTATCCGCTTTTCCCTGGACTCGAACCCGGTTGTCGCCACAGCCGGCTCCTCTTCTGGGTCTCCGCTCCGTCGACATAACACGACAAGCTAACTGGACAAACCTGGTTGCGGCGGGAAAGCCCTCCACACAGAGGTGAGCCATTAGCCGGCGAGCGCGAAGAGGATCGGCGTCACACCGCCCCGTATAGCATTCGCTTAAAAAAACAAAATGTAGCCATACATACCTCCGGCCACGTAAATTGCGGCCTCCAGAAACGTCCGTGGGGCTATGTTTTTAGAATAAGCTTGGGTTGAAATATTTTGAGGGGTGTTTTTGACAATTGAGAGCCACCAGACGACGAATATAAAAAGATTAATACGACAGTTTCGGACTCAGTCAGGGTGCAAGGATCTTGAACTTTTAAGGTTTGCGCAGCTTCTCGAGGAGAAATCAAACAAATGAGCGCCGTTTTCTAAAGTCTATGAGCGCAGCACACACAAATAAACTAAATTGACATACTATATATTATACATACTATATATTATATTAAAAATGTAAATAATATATTATATATTTTTGATGAAATAATGACTGTTTTGGTCTATTGTAGCAGCGAAAACAGATCAGATGAATCCAAACAAAGAACACAAATTTGCACTTTTTAATTTTTTTTCCTCCCATCCTATAGCCTACTCGTGCCCCCCGCGAAAGGCGCACCCCACTGGTTGAGAACCACTGGATTAGATTATCAACTAATAATCTCAGTCACAACAAGTTCGTCCTGAAATGTTTATTGGAAATGTTTATCGTTTATGTTTATTGTTTCATTTTTTATACCTATATATAAATAGAGTTTCACTCAGCTAGCAACTATTCAAATGTAAAGCAGTTGGGGTGTGGCCTGAGGCGCTGTAATGCTAAAGCAGAGAAAGTTAAAATGGCGTCCTAGCACACGCTAGTAGGGGAGTGACATGGAGCTAATCCCCGAATCACAGCACATTATGTTAGCTGACCAATCAGAGCCTCTTGATGGCGGGCCTTTCAGAGGAACTAAAAAATATGACAGTGGCACGTGAAACGTGAAGTGAAACGTGAGCACACATTACTTTGCATTTTATAAATACAACCAAGCCTTAAAATTACACTGTGGACCACCCCTTTAAAAAAAAAAAAAACTACAATCATTTAATCAACTAATAATCTCAGATTTGTCTTGAAATGTTTATTGAAAATGTTTATTGTTTATGTTTATGGTTTCATTTATATATATATATATATATATATATATATATATATATATATATATATATAGTTTCACTCAGCTATGCAGCACAACATAAAAACAAGATGACAATTTTCAAGTCTCACTGTCTTTAACATTTTCTTAAGATAATAACAAATGTGCTATAGACAATTTCAATGTGGTCATGTCAATGGGCCATAAACATTTCCTGTTTGTTGTTAAACTATTTCATAACCGTAACAAAAGGCAATTCAGTCTTATCTTAAAGTTAAAACAGCTATCATGACCTATTTATCAATATGTGAAGCCTTTTGAATTATCGAAAAGCTATGGAAAGTAATATGTAAAACAGGAAATACATTAGGATCATTGTTATTGTTTACATGCCTCAAAATAGTCTATAAGCTTAGTCCAAGTATTGCCCTTTAGAGTGTGTAAATAACAATACACATATGAATTTCTTGAGCATTTCTTCAGGTCTTCTTATGTCCCTTCAGCTCCTCTACGCTCTGCTTTCTATGGGACTGAAAGTGCAGTGCATCTCTGAGACTGTTACCATGACTACTAATGTAGCCGACAGCAGCAGCAGCCTCTTCATGAACTCAAACCGACTCAGCTCCTCAACTGAGAATATAATGCCTTTTTCAGCATTTCATAGTGAAATTTTCACTAAAATATGACTTTTAAATGTACTTTTTCTATAAAGAGGCCTCTTTTTACAAGATGTAAAACAAGTCGCTGATGTCCCTCGAGTCTGCATGGGAGGTTTCAGCTCAAAATATCACACAAAAAATGTTTAAAACTCTTTAAAACGGACCCTTTTAGGCTTTGATCCTAATTGTGCTACTTTGGTGACAGTCACTTTAAATTTAAAAGAGATTTTCAAAAGAGGACGGAGCTATAAATGCCTGTGTGTCAGCATAGTGGCAGATTCAAAAACAAGATTAACGTCCTATGCTAATGAGGGAGAGATGATCACTAATGGGCGGAGCTTTCCCACTCTGATGACATGTACAAAAAGGGAATGTCAATTAAAGTGTTTCTGCAGATTGATTTTATCTGTTACGGTCACCAGCGATCTAGCTCATGCAGATCGCCGGAGAACCTTCACTTTCAGACTACAATTCTGCCACCATAACTACAAATCCTGTCATGCACCTTACACACACCTGTTCCGGTTTTCCCTGATCACACACAGCTGAAGCTTGTCATAATTGATTTCCAGGACTATAAATACACCTCACTGACTCACATTAGTTGCTGATTCTTGCTCTACCTGTAGCATCATGAAACATTTCTCCTTGCCTTTCCATATTTTGATTCCTCGCTTTATTTGTTATCCGCCTGGACCGATCTCCTGCCTGGTTTTCACTGCTCTTTTGGATTGCCCTTTTTTAATTCTGTTTGGTCCTGTGATCGATCCTTGCCTGCCTAACCATTTATTGTGT